AAGGAAAAATACATATTTTACTAATTATAATTAGTAAAAAATTTAAGCATTGCATTATTTTTGATTGCCACTGTATATATAAATTTATAATTTTTAAGAAAAACTGAAAAGTTATATATATATAAATATATTTAAATTTTTATTTTAATTTGATTTTTATATTTTGAATTTATCATATATTTACATTTCTCTAAGTGTATTTCTCTTAAAATTAGTAAAAAAATAAAATGTGTATATTTAAAATGAATATATATTTATAGAAATCAAAATATATAAAGCTCTTATAAGCTAGAATCAGAATATATTATGCATTTAGAAAAAAGTTAAATAGTATATGCATTTAGAAAGAATATACTTAAAAAGATAATTGTATTAAAATTAGATATTTAATTATAAATAATATATTTTTAATATTTAATTTATTATTTTAGTTTTATATTTAATTTTGTTATTTAAATTAAAATAAAATGACTTTATTCTAAAATAATATATAATTTTATATTTAAATTTATATTTTTTTTAAGTTTTATTTTCTTAATTCTTTAATTTTTTCTTCTATTCTGATACTTTTTATTTTGTTTTCTGCTCTCTCTCTTTTGCTTACTTTAATTAACTTTATAATATAAAGTCATCAATTTTTTCTCTATAATAGATATAGAATTTTATAAATTTCTTGCTTCATAATTCATATTTCACTTATAATTTTTATATTTTGTCTTTTTTTTATTATTCAAATAAATAATTTTATACTTGAACTCAATCTTATCAAAGAAAGAATATTTGTAATAATTTTTTTGACAAGTGTATAAAAATCAATTTTTTAGTTCATTTTTGAATTCTGTTTAATTTTTGAAATAAAAAATGGAACAAATTCATATAATTAACATCTTTAAATGTAATAATTATATTAATAGAGTAGAATTAGAAATGAAACAAAATAAAAGGAATCCATCATGCAAGTTTCTCATTATCTAGTGATCTAAAATAATAGTAATATTCAAACAATATAAATATTGAAACAAATACCTTGCTACATTGATATTTTATAATAATATTAATTGAGATTAATCGATGTTATTTATTTAAACGTGACATGGAATATATAATTTACAAGATAATAGGTTTGATGACTTCTCATAACTTTTCATATACTGGCTCACTTAAGAAACGGAACACAAAAAGAAAAAATTCTAGTGCCTTTAACATTGATTAAATGCACCTGGTTTCTATACTCATTCAAAGCTAATAACAATAGAGAATGTCTAAAAAAGTAAAAAATATTGATTTTGTCATTTAAGAAAATAAAGTAATCTCCATGAAATATTTAAATAGTGAAAGTTTAGCTTCAAATATGTTTTTTATCAGGAAATTCTGAAGATAATTGTACCAAATTTGTTTAGTTATTAGAACCAAAATTCCATATCAATGCTAGTAAAAGAAATAGTAGAATTATTTTACATGGAACTTTGGGATTTAATAACTAAACGAATTTGGTACCAATTTAGCTCTTTTATTAAGTAAATCCTCTTGAGAATTTCCTGATAACAAAAATATTTGGAGCTAAAATTCATTAAATAAATATTTTCATGATTATTTTCTTAGAATGGCAAAATAAATATATTTCTTAGGTTTTTTTAGACATTCTCTAGGTTATTTGCTTTCAAATGAGTATAGTTAGAGGCACTAGAATTTTTTTTGTAAAACTTTTCGTGTTCCGTTTCTTAAGTAAGCCACTGTATATGCAGCCGATTCAGATAGAACAAGCGTATTAGAGAATCGACCATTAAAGGTTCGTTGTTAATGTCCTCAAACCAATTACTTTTGACAATAACTGGATTGTAGTAATCGACTTCGATAAGTTTGGTTTTATTATGAAAACTAAAAAAAAATTACCGCATACTGTGGTTTCGTTCCACAATTGAAGCTCATTTAAAAAGTCTCGTAATGCATCAACACCTCGAATGGAACCGCCTTTCCGACAATGTTCTGTAAAACTAAGACCGAAGAATATCGACCTTTTCCAAAGGGATGTTAGCTTCTAAAGAAAAGCAGTAGTCTTTCTTGTTATTAAAGTTTTTATTGTTTGCTGTCGCATTTTTGAATTTTTTCGTTCCTGATGATATATTCCATAATAATAATTAAAAACTTATTTTTATCAACAAAAAAGTCTTCTTCGAATTCATTAGTCATTCTTACATGATTGAATTTACGTTTACATTATTTTACCCGAACAGTTTGATATCTAGCACATTTTAATTATTCTTTGGTCATTTTTACGGTCCCTCATCCGCGTAGAATTTTTTAGGATCACAGTTTTTATATGTGCGATATCGTTTGTTCAAATAATGATATGCGGAAACATTATCTGTTAACTCTTTCGCTCAAC